ATATATATATATAATACGTATATGTCATTATTTTTTTGTTAATTAATTACCAGTTTTGAGCCAAACCGCGTAATTTAGCGATCAGAATTTTATTTCTATTAATTAATAAAGTCAGATTTCAGTTTATAAATATTTATAGGAAAGTTAAACGGGAAAGTTTATGAAAAAGAATTTCATTCATTTTCTTTCATTGATTTTTTTTAACTATTTAAATACGTTTTAAATCTTATAAAATAAATAACTTTTGATTTTGTTCATGTACTTTTTTTCATATCCTCTAAAATTCAAATTATTGTGTTTAATTTTTATTAAATTAAATTATAATTTTAGTCTTTTTTTTTTCATCAATTTATAATTTTGGTTCCTCTATTTTATAATAGAGACATTTAGTCTCTCTAATTTAAAAAAAAATATATATATAGAATTTTGATATTCTCAACAAATTAACATTTATTAATTATTAAATTTTAATATTTACTCATACTTAAGTGATGTGACATTTCATAGCATAATATTTAAAATAAAAAGATATAAATAAATTTTTTATTAATAAAATAAATATCAATTGCTCGTTAAAATAATTATAAATGAAAAAAATAATTTGTTATTTTTTTTAATTTTTATCTTTTTATGTCATATCACTTAATATCATATTATTTAAAATACAGAGACCAAAATTGAAAATTAATAAAAATAGAGAATCAAAAGTGTAATTTAATCTTTTTTAATTATTATTTTATATTTATTAATTACTTATGTGTTTAGTTTATTAATTAGAAGGTGAAGTGGTTATTCTAGATGATACCCACAATATTTTGTATCAATATTTCTAACTTAAAAAAGGTGACTTCATGCTTATAAAATCACGTTTACATGTGACACATACTAGTATGTAGACACCTAAACTTTATAGACATGTTTGATAGAAGATAAATATTTCATGTCTAAAAATCGTGATTCCTAGTAATCATAAATTTGGAAAAATATGATTACAAAGATCAATTAAAAACATAAATGTATTTTAAAAATACTTATATGTGTTAATTAAAAATAAAATATTTTTACTGTGAAATAAGTAAATAAAGATGATGTGATATTTTAAATGTAATGGAACTTTTTATCTCGAGAATATTATATTTTCACCACATATAAAATAATTTTGTAAGAAACTTATGCAAAATATATTAAAAACAACAATGTTTTTTTTTACATTAATAATTTTTTAAATAATAAACTAAACACCAGAAATAATATTTGCAACTGAATATCTATAATATATATATATATATGGAATAACTTTGCAGTAATTATTTTTCTCCAAAACTTTCGTCCAACATATTTCTATATAAAAATTTTATTAAATAAAATTAAAATTCTATTATTTATACAATTATATAATATAATAATGCATTAATTTAACAAACTGTAACAATATAATAAAATGTTAATTACATTAATTTTAAATCAAACAATTTTAAAGTAAAAATAATTATAAAACTCACATAAACATAATTATTAAAAATATTTATTATTATATACTAAAAAATTAATGTATATTAGCGAAAAAATAACATGCAAAGTGAACAACTATTGTAATAATTCTTTTTCTCCAAAATATAAAAAAATATATAATTATAAAAATTAATATTTACATATGTTATTATGTTTAATATAGAAAATGTGATTAAACATAATTTCACAAGAAAAATATTAATATTAATATTTCTTTATGTAAATATTTTAAAAGTAAAATACACAAAATCGAAAGATTTTCATTCAAAACAATATTTTTATAAAATAAAATAATAACACATTATTATAGTAAATTGCAACAACAACAAAAATATTAATTATTAATTATTTTAATTTTAAAATAAAAGTAAATAAAAAATTCACATATAAAATATAAATTAACATATATAAAGGAAATAATTTCTTCCTCAACTATTTTTCCCTTCCTCATGCTCAAACATATTTTCATATATAAATTTAGTCAAATAAAAATAAAATTATGTTATGTAATTATACAATATAACAACACATTAATATAAGAAATTGTAATGGTACAATGTTGATTCTTATTTTACTTTAAATGAGATTTATCTTATAAGTAACCTAGACTTTTATATTTTTTTATTTACACTTTATTTTTTGAAAAATTAAAATTTTAATATAATTATTAAATATTAATTTAATTAAACATAATAAATAATATTTTTCATATGTGAGAGTGATTTGTGTTATAAGCAATTAGCTAAGCCAAGAGGTAAGTAAAACTTGTCCAATGATTGTTTCCACCAAAGATCGAATTCAAACATTACCTAAATGATTCGACCTTAGGTTTAGTACATTAACCATTTGTATCTAATTCATTAGTTAAGTATAATTGTTTATTAGTAAGATAGTCTACAAACACTCTGCATTAAAGATGTTTTAATGAGGTTAATTTGTGTTGATGAAATCAAATTAACTTTTTCCAAGAGAATAAAGATATCTCATCCTTGGAATCTCCCCCTTCCTCTTCAGAAGCTTCATATGAGGAATCTTTAGCCTTTGTGGCTTAGGACAATGTGACATGTCTAGGCTTCTAGATGTCGTGGCTTAGGACGATATGACCCGTCTAGGCTTCTAGATGTTGAGGCCTAAAGATTTGGTTTTTCTTCTTGCCTCATCCTATTGAAGCTCAAGCTCATGAACTTTTAGCTAACTTATCAATTCTACGAGTGATATTTTGTTTGTCTTTATTGTCACCTATAGTCTCCATTGTTTGGGAAACTATCAATAATTTATCAATGTAATCAAAATTATCATAAGTTCTACATAGAAATAAAAGTTCATTAATAATGATTTGAAACTATCAAAACATGGTTTGAATATTTTCATTTTCTTTCATGCTAAACAATTCATACTTACAAGACAATAAGCTAAGCTTTTTGCATTTTGCCTCTATGGACCCTTCGTAGGTAAGAGTAAGAGTGTCCCACGTTAGTTTTGCACTTTTAAAGCTATGAACCTTTGTGTATTCCTTTTTAGAAAGTGCTCACATGATAAAGTTAAGATACTTGGAGTTTTTAGGATGAAACATTGTCTTTGCTCGTTGTTCCATCTAGCAATAGGGATCTTCTTGTAAGTTCATTCAAAAGAATATAGTTCCCATTGTCAACTATGTCTCACATATCTATTTG